CCCGTACGCGTTACGTCCTGGGTGGGACCTCGTCAGCCCGATATATGGCCATCCTGTTAGTTGAGGGGTCATACCCTCAAGCTGAACAGCCACAACTGTATATGGTGACTGGAGAAAGCACCTTTAGTACCAGAACTAATATTTTCTCACTTTTTTGACACATCCCCATGTATCCACTTATGTTGGTGGTCTGGTCTCTTGTGTGGACTTTGATACATATATTTTGCTGTTAAAAGTTATTTATATATGGTTTTTGCTCTTCATTCAGTTGATTTTATTGTACTGCACTGTTGTTTATTTTTATGTGAAATCATCTTACATATCTAGTAGTAGGTGGTCACAGTCAGCTAGATTGTTTCTGTAATGACATTTCATAGCTTCTGCAAGTGTCATCATGTATCATACCCCAGCTTCTGCATCTACACAGCTGGCACAGACACCTGTCACGCCTATGGTAGTGAGCTCTATAGGTCCACAGCTTGGGGTTCTCCAGGGCGCGGAATCTAAGCCCCAGCCTGTTTGTTCACACCAGGGCCCCTGATGGTGGGGATGGACTTGCAGCAGGCTGGGACCAGGTCGCGGCCCCCAGGTACACCCAGCTGAGGTGGAAGAGACCGCTAGCGGGAGCAGGGTGCAAGGGAGAAGACACAGGGAATCCAATGGGCAAGCCGAGGTCAGGACGGGCGGAAAACTAGCAAGGTCAGGAATGAAGCCGGGGTTGGTACACAGATAGACAACACAGGAATCACAGCAGAACCACATGGGAGCTCCAACAACACGAAGTTGCTCAGGAAAAGTGGGACAGACTGAGCATGTCTTATATAGACAAGCCAGCTAGGAGGCGGCCCAGGAATGATGGAAGGGAAGGACATAAAACCCAGAGGATATCAGACTACCCCCATAGATGAGCACAGACAATCACACATGTGAAGGAATCAAGAGCAGCAAGGAGGTAGGAGTACAAGAGACTGCAAGCTAACTTGTTACAACACCTTAATCTGGTCACCATGGAATGTGTCAAAGCAGATGCTGATTGTCCAAGAACAGGATGGGAGGTTTGAAAGTTGTGGCACCACCTTGTTCTAGTTACATAATACCATTGTTGGTGTCATAAAGTCTACATAGGTATTAATCCTTTGAATCACATGGCTGACGGTATTAAATAATATCAATGCCCGGGGTAGAGATGGTATTAGATGTGGAAGACAGATGATGTTCAATGCCCCACCCCTGTTCTGGTTGGTTCTGGTTGGTTAATTTGGTTGGTCCAGTTTGGCATCTTTCATGTGTCTTGCAAATCAGTTGTTCTCTCGGTTCAAGATGTGAACCTCCATGTCCTCAAAAAATGACCCTTTTCCTTAAGGTGTAGGAAGACTTTCACACCTCCTATCCTGTTCTTGTTGGCATTGCTTGGTTGCACTGGTTGGTCCAGTTTGACCTAAATGGCGCCTTTCACTTCTCTTGTAAACCAGTTGCCCTCCCAGTTCAAGATGTGCATTTCAATGTACTCAAAATAATGTCCCTTTTCCTTAAGGTGCAGGAAATTTTTCACACCTCCCATCTTGTCCTTGAACAATCAGTATCTGCCTTGACACATTCCATGGTGTTTAAATGAAGGTGTCTTTGGTGTCAAACAAGTCTGCACATGTGTTAATCCCTCACATGACCCAAGGCATGAATTGTTGTCAAAACCTAAGGGTAAAGATGTTAAAACAGCATATGTGAAAGACAGATGGTATTGAAGGCCTTCACCCCTTTCCTGGTTGGTTACGATTGGCTGGACTGGTTGGTCCAATTTGACGTTGATGGCATCTTTCACTCCTCTTACAAACCAGATGCCTTCTTGGTTCAAAATATGCACCTCGGTGTCCAAAAAAGGTGCCTCTTTTCTTTATGGTGTAGGAGGACTTTCATACCTCCTATCCTGTGCTGGTTGGCTCATGTTGGTTGGACTGGTTACATAGTTAGTCTGCCTGAAAAAAGACAAAAATCCATCCAGTTAAACCATTAAAAAAAAAAAGTTATAATCCTACACCCACAGTTGATCCAGAGGAACTAAAAAAAACCCAGCAAAGCATGACCCAATTTGCTCCTGCAGGGAAAAAAAAATTCCTTCCTGATCCCCCGAGAGGCAATCGGATCAACTTTCCCTATAAATGTTATATCCAGTTATATTCTGTGTATCCAAGAAAGAATCCAGGACTTTCCTACAGCAATCCACCGAGCTGGCCACAACCAACTCTGGAGGGATTCTATTCCACATTCTCACAGCTCTTACTGTGAAGAAACCTTTCCGTGTTTGGAGATTAAATTTCTTTTCCTCCAGACGTAAAGAGCGCCCCCTTGTCCTCTGTGATGACCTCAGGGGGAATAACTACACCGAGTTCACTATATGGACCATTGATGTATTTATACATGGAGATCATATCCCCCCTTATGTATTATACATGGAGATCATATCCCCCCTTATGTATTATACATGGAGATCATATTCCCCCTTATGTATTATACATGGAGATCATATCCCCACTTATGTATTATACATGGAGATCATATCCCCCCCTTATGTATTATACATGGAGATCATATCCCCCCCCTTATGTATTATACATGGAGATCATATCCCCCTTATGTATTATACATGGAGATCATATCCCCCCCATATGTATTATACATGGAGATCATATTCCCCCTTATGTATTATACATGGAGATCATATCCCCCCCCCTTATGTATTATACATGGAGATCATATCCCCCTTATGTATTATACATGGTGATCATATCCCCCCTTATGTATTATACATGGAAATCATATCCCCCCTTATGTATTATACATGGAGATCATATCCCCCCCTTTTGTATTATACATGGAGATCATATCCCCCCCTTTGTGTATTATACATGGAGATCATATCCCCCCTTGTGTATTATACATGGAGATCATATCCCCCTCTTATGTATTATACATGGAGATCATATCCCCCCTTATGTATTATACATGGAGATCATATCCCCCTTATGTATTATACATGGAGATCATATCCCCCTTATGTATTATACATGGAGATCATATCCCCCCTTATGTATTATACATGGTGATCATATCCCCCTTATGTATTATACATGGAGATCATATCCCCCTTATGTATTATACATGGAGATCATATCTCCCTTATGTATTATACATGGAGATCATATCCCCCCCTTATGTATTATACATGGTGATCATATCCCCCTTATGTATTATACATGGAGATCATATCCCCCCTTATGTATTATACATGGAGATCATATCCCCCCCTTATGTATTATACATGGAGATCATACCCCCTTATGTATTATACATGGAGATCATATCCCCCCTTATGTATTATACATGGAGATCATATCCCCCCTTATGTATTATACATGGAGATCATATACCCCCTTATGTATTATACATGGAGATCATATCCCCCCCTTATGTATTATACATGGAGATCATATCCCCCCTTATGTATTATACATGGAGATCATATCCCCCCCTTATGTATTATACATGGAGATCATATCCCCCTTATGTATTATACATGGAGATCATATCCCCCTTATGTATTTTACATGGAGATCATATCCCCCCTTATGTATTATACATGGAGATCATATCCCCCCCTTATGTATTATACATGGAGATCATATCCCCCCTTATGTATTATACATGGAGATCATATCCCCCCTTATGTATTATACATGGGGATCATATCCCCCTTATGTATTATACATGGAGATCATATCCCCCCTTATGTATTATACATGGAGATCATATCCCCCCTTATGTATTATACATGGAGATCATATCCCCCTTATGTATTATACATGGAGATCATATCCCCCCTTATGTATTATACATGGAGATCATATCCCCCCGTATGTATTATACATGGAGATCATATCCCCCCTTATGTATTATACATGGAGATCATATCCCCCCTTATGTATTATACATGGAGATCATATCCCCCCTTATGTATTATACATGGAGATCATATCCCCCTTATGTATTATACATGGAGATCATATCCCCCCTTATGTATTATACATGGAGATCATATACCCCCTTATGTATAATATATGGTGATCATATCCCCCCTTATGTATTATACATGGAGATCATATCCCCCCTTATGTATTATACATGGAGATCATATCCCCCCTTATGTATTATACATGGAGATCATATTCCCCCTTATGTATTATACATGGAGATCATATCCCCCCTTATGTATTATACATGGTGATCATATCCCCCCTTAATCTCCTCTTCTCAAGAGATCATAAATTCAGTTCCTCTAATCTTTCCTCATAGCTGATCTCCTCCATGCCTCTCTGTTCTTTCTCCAGTTCCCCAATGTTCTTTTTGTGAATTGGTGCCCAAAACTGAACTGCATATTCCAGATGAGGTCTTACTAATGATTTGTAGCAGAAGAGGGAAATGATTTCTCTCTCTCTGGAGTCTATACCTCTTTTAATACAAGAGAGGATTTTGCTCACTTTAGAACCCGCAGGTTGGCATTGCTGCCATTATTAAGCTTGTGATCTACCAGAACTCCCAGATCCTTCACCATTGACCCCCCAGATCCTTCTCCACCATTGACCCCCCCAGATCCTTCTCCACAATTGACCCCCCCCAGATCCATCTCCACCATTGACCCCCCCCCCCAGATCCTTCTCCACCATTGACCCCCCCCCCCAGATCCTTCTCCACCATTGATTCCCCCAATTGTGGTGGAATGGTTAGTCCGTGGTTTATATGGTGTTTTTCAAGCCTTTTGTCTTCTTGGTCCAAGATGTGCATCTCAATATCCTCAAAAGTATGTTCCTTTTGTTTAAGGTACAGGAAGACTTTCACACCTCCCATCCTGTCCATGAACAATCAACATCTGCCTTGACACATTCCATGGTGCTTGAAGTTGCCTCCCTGGCGGTATTCCTGAGTGTAGCTCGGGGTAAAGTTTCAGCACCACAAATGGTAACCCCGAGCTACACTCGGGCTTACCATACGGAGCTGCTCCGGGATCTCTTCTTCACTTACCTTGTCCTGCGCTCCTGCGATGTCCCTCCTGCAGCGTCCCCGGCAATGTCCTCCGGCTGATGCCGGCATCCGTCTTCTGGGTTCCGTCCCCTGCGATGTCGGAACGTACGGGGGACAGAACTGGCGGGAAATGTGAAAATGACAAAAAGTGACATTTACTCAATACACTAAAATCACATAGTATAACATTCCTGTATCAAACCATTTCACATACATTTTGTCCCTACTGCTTTGTCCGGCGCCCTGCCTGCATTTTTACTGTTCTTTCTGCCTGGAAACTGAGAAACGTCCATGGCGTCCAAAAAGCGTCCCTTTAGGTCAGACGCGGTTTTAGACCGGCTAGAGAACAGCGATAGTAAATCAGAACCACTTGCAGAATTGAGTGATAATGATTGGTGGGGGAAATTCCTCATCAGACACTGAAAACAATTCTGCGACTGAGCTCAGCGATGTGCGAACTTGGCGCTCTATTTCACATTTCAGTGTTTTTGATTTGATTATATTATTGAATTACATTTATTATTATATTATTATTTATGATTATTTATTATATTATAATTTATGATTTCGTGTTTCAAGTTTTATCATCCCGGGATGTTTACTAGACTCTTGTGGGACAGATTTCAGGGAGTTATTCCTAAAAAATTACAGCCTACAATAAAAAAACAACATATTTCCATGCAAAAAATGTACCGCTTTGAGCACAGAAATACGGACATAATCAGACCGCTAGGGAGGTTGCGGTGTTAGCGCTATCTGTGTAGATAGAAAAGCTGGGGTACGTTCCTGACACTCATTAGAACTTGAATGGCTTGGAGAAGCTACGAATGTCTTACAGAACAAGCCCATTTACATGGAACTATCTATCATTCTGAGTACATTGTGTCTTTTTCCTACAGTTGACTTTCCAGGCTTCGGGGTAACGTGTTCCTTATTGTCAGCACCGTGAAGGGTGGCCGGCTCTGTTCTGTCAACTCCGCTTATCGCATGTTCCTTCTGATGCAGGTAGACTGTCAGTGTTCCCCTCCGATTCTCCTGGCATTCCCGGCTCCTCGTTGTCATGACTGGGGCCGGTGATTGAGGTTTGATGATGTGATACAATGTAGCTGTTTTCTGACACATCACTGGAGGATAATGAGTGATTGCATTCTTAGCGCTTTAATCAGCTGTGAATCATCTTCAAACAAGCTCTTCAGCCAAACTGTCTTCCGCTAATCCAGGAGAGATCTCACTTAACTCTCTGCATCACTAAGGATGGAGCGCCGAGTTTATCTACTGCTAGGGGCGGACTGACAACTCATGGGGCCCCCGGGCAATAGAGGATTATGGGGTCCCTGTGTCCTTGCCCAAACTCAAAAAAGCCTATGAAAAAGGTTCCAGGGGCATCTCATGGGGCCCCCTACTGACCCCAGGCCCTTGGGCAGTGTCCGAGTTTCCAAATGGTCAGTCCGCCCCTGCTACTGCAGGCAGAGTTCTATATTACCTCCACCCAAAAAGCCATTAAAGGGTCACCTATGTGAAGACGGACATTTGAAGCGGAGCTTCACTCATGAAAACAGCTTCCTCTCTTATGCCTGTTTCCCCGTAGCGCTACCCCCAAAGGAGCCACTCGGTAATTCGTGTTCTCTCTTCTGCTTCTTGACTCCAAGAACAACCTCGGCCCCTCTGGCACACCTAGGTTGAGTGAAAGTTACTGCAAGCACTTACAGTATAAGAACATGGGGGCGGGGTCACCCAGTTGATGTCACCAGGTGGTTCCGCCCCTTAGCTATTTAACCAGGTGCCGTCCGGCCCGCTGTATATAAACGGACGGACGGTGGCAGTGCAGGGGCAGCTTGCCGTTCATAAACGGCACCCGCCATGTTGGATTGTGCGCGCTCCCTGGGAGCACGCAGCACAACGATCCAGTGCCCGTTGTGTCCTCCAGACACAGCAGAACTCCGACCGTTGGATGGGACCTCTGTGCGAGGTCCCGATCATGTGATCACTGATTGGCCAATTACATAGCAAAAAAAAATAAAAATCCCAGCGGTGAATAAATACTACCAAAATAAAGCTTTATCTGTCTCAAAAAAATGCTACAAAATTCATATGGGTACAGTGTTGCATGACCGCGCAATTGTCATTCAAAGTGTGATAGCGCTGAAAGCTGGAAATTGGCCTGGGGGAAGGGTGGGAAAGTGTCCGGACTGGAAGGGGGGGGAAAGTGTCCGGACTGGAAGGGGGGAAAGTGTCCGGACTGGAAGGGGGTGAAAGTGTCCGAACTGGAAGGGGGTGAAAAGTGTCCGGACTGGAAGGGGATGTAAGTGTCCGGACTAGAAGGGGGGGAAAGTGTCCGGACTGGAAGGGGGTGAAAGTGTCCGAACTGGAAGGGGGTGAAAGTGTCCGGACTGGAAGGGGATGTAAGTGTCCGGACTAGAAGGGGGGGGGGAAGGAAAGTGTCCGGACTGGAAGGGGGGAAAGTGTCCGGACTGGAAGGGGGGGAAAGTGTCCGGACTGGAAGGGGGGGAAAGTGCCCGGACTGGAAGGGGGGGGAAGTGTCTGGACTGGAAGGGGGTGAAAGTGTCGGGACTGGAAGGGGGGGAAAGTGTCCGGACTGGAAGGGGGGAAAGTGTCCGGACTGGAAGGGGGGAAAGTGTCCAGACTGGAAGGGGGGGAAAGTGTCCGGACTGGAAGGGGGTGAAAGTGTCCGAACTGGAAGGGGGTGAAAGTGTCCGGACTGGAAGGGAGGGAAAGTGTCCGGACTGGAAGGGGGTGAAAGTGTCCGGACTGGAAGGGGGTGAAAGTGTCCGGACTGGAAGGGGGGGAAAGTGTCCGGACTGGAATGGGGGGAAAGTGTCCGGACAGGAAGGGGGTGAAAGTGTCCTGACTGGAAGGGGGTGAAAGTGTTCGGACTGGAAGGGGGTAAAAGTGTCCGGACTGGAAGGGGGTGAAAGTGTCCGGACTGGAAGGGGGTGAAAGTGTTCGGACTGGAAGGGGGTGAAAGTGTCCGGACTGGAAGGGGGGGGTGAAAGTGTCCGGACTGGAAGGGGGTGAAAGTGTCCGGACTGGAAGAGGGTGAAAGTGTTCGGACTGGAAGGGGGTGAAAGTGTCCGGACTGGAAGGGGGTGAAAGTGTCCGGACTGGAAGGGAGGGAAAGTGTCCGGACTGGAAGGGGGGTGAAAGTGTTCGGACTGGAAGGGGGTGAAAGTGTCCGGACTGGAAGGGGGTGAAAGTGTCCGGACTGGAAGGGAGGGAAAGTGTCCGGACTGGAAGGGGGTGAAAGTGTCCGGACTGGAAGGGGGTGAAAGTGTCCGGACTGGAAGGGGGTGAAAAGTGTCCGGACTGGAAGGGGGGGAAAGTGTCCGGACTGGAAGGGGGGGAAAGTGTCCGGACTGGAATGGGGGGAAAGTGTCCGGACAGGAAGGGGGTGAAAGTGTCCTGACTGGAAGGGGGTGAAAGTGTCCGGACTGGAAGGGGGTGAAAGTGTTCGGACTGGGGACTGGAAGGGGGTGAAAGTGTCCGGACTGGAAGGGGGTGAAAGTGTCCGGACTGGAAGGGGGGAAAGTGTCCGGACTGGAAGGGGGTGAAAGTGTCCGGACTGGAAGGGGGACAAAGTGTCCGGACTGGAAGGGGGGGAAAGCGTCCGGACTGGAAGTGGTTAAATATGTTCAAAATGGGACCATGGGCGCAGTTTTTTTTCATCATGGTTCATGTTAGGGACCAAAACGCAGCTGAATGAGCCCCTAGCATACACTGTTGCATCGAGATCCATATATGCTCATACGCAGTACGGATCAGAACGCGGCGTATTTTGCGTCTGTGTATATGAGCCTTAGCAAGTATTTTTTACCACCATGGCTCCTTTTCTGATACTGTACTATGCCCCCCCCCCAACGATGACTCCATCCGGCACCCACCACCGGCCCAGCGGTCAATCAGATCTCTCACCTTCGTTGGACATTGTTGGGGATTTTTTTTTTCTCCTCATTGTATCTGAATTTCCCCTCCCCCCCACGCCATCTCACGAGTTTTATAAAGGTCTCTCCGGAGAGCGTTGCGATCCATTGTTATATCTGTATTTTATCAGAAGATTCCGCCAGCGTTTCCCGGCCTTGACACGTTTCCACTTTAATATGTTCTATTAATTCACGGGAAGAGACATCCTACCCAACGCCCCATAAATCACCGCGACCGCGGCTCACATTCGCGGCGGGGTGTTTATCTGTGAAGGCCATTTTGTGACCCTCACTACGCCTCACTTGTCACAAGCAGGTTGATCTAAGGATAAAAAAAAGGGACGCGGGCGCCAAGGTCACCGCGACTTTGTCATCTTGTCATCGCCGGGCGTCAGCCTTTTACGGTGCGTGCGTACCTTGCAACATTGTCTCGGGTGCGGCAGATAAAGATGCAGAGAGTCGGGTTTTAGGCTAATGCAGGCCATACACGGGTCGAATTCTGAATGATTGTTCGATGGAAAATCGAAAAACGCCATTTGTTCTGTAATGCAATGGTGCCACCAATGATTTTGAAAATTGGTCATTTTTCACAAATTTTCCATCATGCCCGATAAACGAAATGATGAGGAACCACGAAAATCGGCCAGGTGCCATTGCCCCAAATTACATCACCAATCTTGTCTCTAAATATCACCAACTGTCCTCTCTGCTCCTCGCATGACCTCCTGCTCTCTAGCTCCCTTGTCTCCTCCTCCCATGCTCATCTCCAGGACTTCTCCAGAGCTTCCCCCATCCTCTGGAACTCTCTACCCCAATTTATCAGACTATCGCCTACTCTGCTCACTTTTAGGCGATCTCTGAAAACCGATCTCTTCAGGGAAGCCTATCCTGCCGTCAGCTAATAATGGAATCTTCTATTCTTCCAACCAGTCCATCCCCCACAGTTATTACCTTTTGTACCACTAGCCCCTCCCTCTTAGATTGTAAGCTCCCAGGATCAGGGCCCTCCTATCCCTCTTGTATTGAACTGTATTGTTGCTATATTGTCTCCTGTTATATTGTAAAGTGCTGAGCAAACTGTTGGCGCCATAAATCCTGTATAATAATAATATATAAATCCTGTATAATAATAATAATAATTGCGCCACTAACAGAGCGGAAATCGGCTGATTATTCTTAGGTCTGATTTTCGTACGGAAATCGTTTGGGAAATCGACTCATGTATGGCCGGCCTAAGTTCATGCCTTTGCATGTCCCGAAACGTGACCGAAAATGGCCGCATTCATTGTTAATGGCATTTTAATGCATCTGCTAATGCAAGCGTTTTCGCGCTCACCAAACCGCTCATTGCAGTAGGTTTTTGGAAAAGGCTCAGGGACTTCTCTTTCGTCCTGGAACGCACAGGAAACGTGCACTTGGTAGCACTTTTAAGTGTGAACTTAGCCTAATGCAGGCCATACATGGGCCGAATTCCGAACAATTTTTCGTCCGAAAATCGAAAACATTGTTCACTTGGTAATCCGATGGCGCCATCAATGATTTAGAAAATCTGCCGACCGAGTCATAAAGTTCACCCCATATAACATGAAACTTCTGTTCCTTCCAGGTCATGGCTCATGCGCATTTTCTTTTCGGAAAAAACGATCGTACAATTTGACCATCATTGAGTCGAAAATCAGTCGTTTTTCACTAATTTTCCAACATGCCCGATCACCGAAAAGGAGAGGAACCAGGGTCAGACTGAAAACTCATGGGGTCCCCTGGAAACAGGGGTTCATCCAAAATCCAAATCTGACACATTCCACCAAAACCCCCAAAATGGACTGGAGAAAATTATTGACACCCTCCATGTAATATTTGGTAGCATGCCCCTTGGAAAAATCAATGAAATCAATGGCTTCCTGTAACCATCAATGAATTTCTTTCACCTCTCTGCTGGAATTTTGGATCGTTCTTCTTCCTCCAACTGCTCCGGGTCTCTCAGATTGGAAGGGTTCCTTTCCCCAACTGCTGGTCTGAGATCTCTCCACAGGAGCTCTTTGGGATGGAGATCGGGACTCATTGTTGGTCAGTTCAGTCCTCTCCAGCACTTTGTCTGAAACCAATTCTGGGGGCTTTTTGACGTGTGCTTTGGGGTCATTGTCCTGCTGGAAGACCCATGACCTCTGACATTGGACACCCAACTTTCTGACACCGGGCCCTACATTGCCCCCCAGAATTCTTTGGTAGTCTTCAGATTTCATAATGCCATGCACACGGTCAAGACGTCCAGTGCCTGAAGCAGCAAAGCAATCCCAAACCATCAGTGACCCCCCACCATGTGTGACTGGAGGGACTGTGACCCCCCACCATGTGTGACTGGAGGGACTGGATTCTTTTCTTTAAAGACCTCATTGCTTTTTCTGAAAACAGTAGAATGATGGGCTTTACCAAAAAGCTGCCATTTTGTTTCATCTGGCACATTCTCCCAAAAGGATTTTGACTTCCTCAGGCAAACTCCAATCTGGGTTCTAACATGTTTCTGTAACAGCAGTGGGGTCCTCCTGGGTCTCCCACCATATTTCTGTGTCAGCGGTGGGGTCCTCCTGGGTCTCCTCCCATATCTCTGTGTCAGCGGTGGGTCCTCCTGGGTCTCCCACCATATTTATGTGTCAGCGGTGGGGTCCTCCTGGGTCTTCTCCCATATTTCTGTGTCAGCGGTGGGGTCCTCCTGGGTCTCCTCCCATATTTCTGTGTCAGCGGTGGGGTCCTCCTGGGTCTCCTCCCATATTTCTGTGTCAGCGGTGGGGTCCTCCTGGGTCTCCTCCCATATTTCTGTGTCAGCGGTGGGGTCCTCCTGGGTCTCCTCCCATATTTCTGTGTCAGCGGTGGGGTCCTCCTGGGTCTCCTCCCATATTTCTGTGTCAGCGGTGGGGTCCTCCTGGGTCTCCTCCCATATTTCTGTGTCAGCGGTGGGGTCCTCCTGGGTCCCCTACCATATTTCTGTGTCAGCGGTGGGGTCCTCCTGGGTCTCCTCCCATATTTCTGTGTCAGCGGTGGTGTCCTCCTGGGTCTCCTACCATATTTCTGTGTCAGCAGTGGGGTCCTCCTGGGTCTCCTCCCATATTTCTGTGTCAGCGGTGGGGTCCTCCTGGGTCTCCTACCATATTTCTGTGTCAGCGGTGGGGTCCTCCTGGGTCTCCTCCCATATTTTCTGTGTCAGCAGTGAGGTCCTTCTGGGTCTCCTACCATAGAGTCCCTTTTCATTCAGATGGCGACGTATAGTGCAAGCGGACACAGTTGTACCCTGTGTGAAGGTCAGCTTGGATTTGTCTGGAAGTTGATGGAGGTTCTTTAGCCACCATTCCAACAATCCTTTGTTGTAATCTTTGATCAATTTTTCTCTTTCATCCACATCCATGGAGATTAGCTACAGTGCCATGGGCTGTAAACTTCTTGACAATGTTTTGCACAGTGGACACGGGAACATTAAGATCTCTGGAGATGGACTTGGAACCAAATTGTTCATGTGTTTCCACAATGTTTGTTCTTACATCCTCAAACAATTCTTTGTTGCTCTTTCTCTCCTCCATGCTCCATGTGGCACACAGAGATGCACAACAGAAAGGTGGAGGCCATTTTTCACCATTGTAACTGGTTGCCGGTGTGATTTCTATATGGTCAGCGCCTGGTCATTGATTACAGGAACATCACAAACTTGGAATGCAATTATTTTTTACAATTTTGAAAAGGTACAATAATTTTGTCCGGTCCATTTTTGGGGTTTTGCATGGAATGGGTCAGATTTGGCTTTTTTTTGCTTCTCCACTTTTTTTGTGTCATAGCGATACAAACCAAAGAAATAAACATGAGAATGCCGAAATATTTGTAATTGCAACAATTTTCTGGGAGGAGTGGCGCATTATCTGACAGAAATGCAAAGGGGGGCAATATCTTTGGCCATGACTGTAACCATAGTTGATCCAGAGGAAGGAACCCCTCCCCCCCCCCCCCCCCCGTGTTTGGTATCTATTTACTCGGCACAATATATTCTCTTAAATCAAACAATTGGGTATTGTATTGTATTTTTGTGCATTCAAATTAAAAAAAAAAGTTTATTTTCACGCAAAAAATTGTGTGTAAGAAACTGCTGTGCAAATAACGTGTGATAAAAAAAAATTGCAACACCCAAATTTTTATTCTCTAGGGCCTCTGCTTAAAAAATATATGTATAATATAAAAAACCGCAACAAAGCACGATCCAATTTGCTCCTGCAGGGGAAAAAAATCCTTCCTGATCCCCCGAGAGGCAATTGAATATTCCCGGGATCAACTTTACCTATAAATGTTATATCCAGTTATATTCTGTGTATCCAAGAAAGGATCCAGGACTTTCCGAAAACAATCTTAACCTCCTTAGCGGTGTTTCCCGAGTGTAGCTCGGGGTAGAATTTCTATACCAAGAACGGTAACCCCGAGCTACACTCGGGCTTACTATGCAGCGTTCTCCGGGGGTCCCTGCAGCACTTACCTTGTCCTTCGCTCCCACGATGTGTCCCCTGCAGCGTCCCCGTCCATCTCCTCCGGCGGATGCCGGCATCTGACTTCCGTGTTCCGGTCCCCGTGACGTCGGAACGTTCGGGCGGCGGAACCGGCGGGAAATTTGAAATTTTTAAAAAATGACATTTTTGCTGTCATTGCTTTT